ATGGACGCGGCAAACAGTTCAGCATCTACCGCGAAAGAATCTATGATGAGGTCGCGAAGAAGTGGCTCCTGGTCTTCAGGGTCACGAAAGACTGCGGAAATGTCGCGTACAAGGACTTCTTCGAGCAGGTCGCTGTTCCTGAGGTGAAAGAAAGGAACGAAATCTTCGGATTCTCCCGTGCATCAGCCGAGAAGACTGGGGACATCATCGAGTTTTGGCTTGGTGTCTTGGATGTAGCAAACATGGCAAAAGGAGTTGTGAATGTCTTCAATGCCAGTGTTGACCCTGCTGAATTCCTCAACGGCTTGGAAAAGGCATTGGCCCAATTCACATCAACTTCCAGAACTACAAGCACCATCAACGACAAGAGACGAGGATCTTTCGACTGCACCCTGCAGACTGCAGAAGCCGAAAAGGTCATGAGGATCATCCACGCAATCCCCGGGTATGAATCGTTGATTAACTTCAACTGTCTCACGGAGTGGGAGAAAGATCAGGTCATCTCTCAGTATCGAAGAAAGCACCATGTCACAGGGGACGACACCAACATGGGCGCTGATGCTGATGCCCAACCAGGTGACGAGTCGTCGACTCACCCTGGGGAGGAGGAAGCTGATGAGCCAGCAAACGACCCTACTGATGTGGTTAGGGACTCAGAGATGTCCGGAAAACAACAACTCCTGGATGCGTTGGGAAAACTCTTCACTGTCTCTGAGGATGTCAATGTGTGCTTGTACTGTGGTAGCACCAAACATGGTCATCTCGAATGCGAAAATGAAAAGAAGGATGAAGTCAGAAAGGTGCTAAAGGCCGTCCGGGCGTCGCTCGAGGCTGATAGTCCCACATCTGATGACGTCGAGATGGAACCACCTGAGCACAGAAAGGACGGATCAGGTTCTACGGAAGGGACAGGGCAAACGGATGAGCCCACAAAACCAAGGTTTGGTGAATACCAGTGGTACGACAGCATCAGGACTATGTCCGAAGTCGGAGATCTGGATGAATATGGTAGGTTCTGTATTGAAGGGCGTGATGTTACCAAGCTGGGACCCCAAAATGTCGTTGATCTCAATGAAGTGATCCGGGACGCTATTGTCAGAGGAGGAGGTGACACTTGGTCAGTACCAGAGTTCCTCGCAAACTACTCTGAAAACAACATCAGAAAACCCTTCTACAAACGGATCGAAGCGCCGCGAGATGGTTTCCTGAAAATCATCCCCACGACGGGAGCTCACTTCTTCAACTGCTTCTACTTTGGCGGTGTGGAGTATGCGGCAAACTATCGCTTCGAAACCGGTAATCGGCTCGACAGCTACGAGGACAAGGTGAGCTCCGCACTGAACAGGATCCTACGACACAATGTGGGGAAAGCCTCAGAATCACAAAGCTTGGTTTGTGACGATGCTGGCTGGGTGCCCATTGAGGATGTACTCAAGTGTGAGTCAATCTGGAGACATGAATACCAACGTTGGCCGCATGTCTTCCTCGCCCCCAAAGGGAGAACAAACGATCAAAATGCATGGAATGTGAAAGAGGCGAGCAATCGCATGGCATTGCTGTTCAAGATCATGTTCCACTGTGCCCGATATGGACGTCGTGTACGGGAACAAGTCTTGGCGTTCGGGATCAACAAGGACATTGATCGCAGCAGCCTGACATGCATTGACAACAACGTCAACGCGGACACGCACATTCCCGACGAGGGGCTATTGCTCTATCCAGTTGCAGTCCGTGCTCCAACGGGGCACAAGGAAGGATCCTCCAGAGACGACGTCTTATTGTTGTCCTCCTTGCTCTCGCATCCGATTGCGCCCAACACCATCATGTCAATGCCTGTTTGCTTCCACATCACGAAGAAGACCAACCTTCGAAGCATTTGGAGGCAAGGACTGATTCCAGGAGGTCTTGGGGAGGGTCATCGTATGTTCACATCATTCTTCAATCCATACGTGCCGTGGGATTATCGCTCGTGGACTATCACGAAGAGTGTTGATACGCGAAAGGGGGACTACATCTGCCTCTTCATCCCGACCGAGACCCTGATGGTGGACTACGGTGGTCGATTGACGGATTCGGGACAGATCGTTTCGCCAAAGATCATCCCGTTCTCAGCGATCAGAGGTGGATGGATTCAAGATCCAAAGGATCAAAACAACAAGACATGGCTCCGGTTGTTCGTTCCGTCGGGCGACGACCAGGTAGTCCGGCCAGGCACTATCAAGTCAAGAACTGTTGCCACCAAGGAGTCCATTCTGAGGATCGCAAGTCAATGCATCGACGCCGAAAAGCAACCGTATGACGAGATCACCATGGATGCAATGAACGTCGTACACCAGTTCAGGAACAATCTCATTGAAGCTGGTGGACAAGAACAATACCTCGCCCGCATCAAGCTGACGACTACATCGTCGAGCGCAAGAGGGTGGAAACTTCAGGTTGCCGTCATTGCCCTCATTGCCTCAATGAGACGCCGACGAAGTTGGCAGTATGTCTAGGATGCTGGACAGAGCTTGAAAGCTGTGGAATTCGACCATATAGATTACAAGCTCCTGAAGACGATGAGGACGAAGCCACAAAGAAAGAGCTCGACGAGGAGGTTCGCCGACAGGAAGAATCGTTGTTCGAGGATACGGTCCACCAAGCACAGGAAAACGTACCTGAATCCAACGATTATGGCTTCAATCCTGACGAAGTCGACTACAACGAAGGCGATGACGAGGAAATGGCTCAGGAGGAAGAGACTCAGCAGGAAGACGATGAGATCGTCGAAGAGGACGACGATGATGACATGAACGTCGAACCTGAGGATGAGCCTTCATCCAACCTGCCAGCATGGACCAAGAATCTTGTGCCTGGAGGCAAGGGTTTGCCAGGAGATGGTCTAGTAAACAATGATGTCTCCGAGGCCGCGGCTCACTTGTACGACAATGCCGTGATGTCAAAGATCATCGCAATGTTCAGACTCTACTACAACCAGAGAGTCACTTTGACCTCAGAGGACTACTATGCGTTGATGACAGCCACCAAGCGAGTCCGACTGGACCTGGACGACTTCTGCCCCTACACGGGCGAAGATCAGGACGGCAAACTCAAGCGTCCGACTGAGCAGGAATTGGACGAACTCTTCAAGGAGAAAGGGAAGAAGAACTCATGGTCAGAGGGAGAATTGATGTACTCTGGGCGACCGAGAAACATGATGATGCCTGTCATCAAAACTCTAGAAGTCTACGAAAAGATGATGGAGTTTCTCATCTGTGCCGGGTACACTCCCGAGTCCTTAGGTTTCCTCATGCCAATGATGAAGATGCAGGGAGATGCAAAGGAGAAGCAGGAGATGAGGGTGACCATTAGCAACTTTCTCCGACGATTGATGAAGGGAACCTTTCCCGAATATGAATCATACACCTTCTTCCGTTCCGGGAGCCACGGCTTCCCCAACTGCATTGAACTCCCAGCTTTCTCGGTATATCTGAGTCTGAGGGAAAAGGAACAAAGGGTGGAACTACTTTTCGCTGCCCAACAATGCGGTATTCCATTACCTCGCAACTTCATCAGCAAGATGGCCTACGCCATTCAACTTGCTGAATCCGAGGCGATGAGGGGAAAGTCCGAAATGAAAATGAAGATGGCTCCGAACCTGGGGGACGAAGTGGTAAGTGAAGTATTCAAAGCAGTCAGAGACAGTGCCGCCACCAAGCGTGCCGCTGCAGACGCAAAAGCCAGATCATCAACACAGCCTTCACAGAAACCTGAAGATACTGGTTCAGCGTCATCATCATCGGCCAGTGCACCAAAGGCTAAGGCTATGCCGAAGTCTTATGAACCATCTAAAGCACCACCTGCGAAGCCTCCATCGCCGAAAGCTGCTCCGAAACGTGCGGCAGGTTGGGAGAAATCTCAAACGACACCTCAATGGAAGAAAGTCCGCCGTGAGGAGTAAATCAACCACCTCTGTCCATCCAAAGTGATCACTGGACTATAAGATGTCTATCGTCTTTGTGAACAGATGATCAGGAAAAGACCAATTGAGAGGACTCTGAGCGAGGCAGTAGACTAATTCGCTTAGATTCCATATTCTCACTATTCCCAATCTGCACGATTCTCTTTTTAGCAATGTGCACGTGAATTCACTAGTTAGCGCCAATTGCTATTCTTGGTGGAGCAGTCAACTTCCGTCGTCGATGGAGTGACTTGCGAAGCCATAATCGTAGAGTAGCTGCAAGCTAGTGATAATTCGCGTTGTACAGCTCGAACTTGCGCTGATGCATTGCATGCCAGAGAGTAGGCAACCCCGGATCCACTACGCTCGTCGGGTGTGGGTGAAGGGGGTGGATTTGCGTGCACAAAGGCGTAATTCGTGCACAACAAACAACTTAATTCAAAGTTCTCGCTCTCGTGCCCACGGTGCGAAGACACCGCAGGCATGGGGGGTGTCAAAGGGAACACAGTGAGACTACATGTGTAACATACACATGATAAACGCTCGGGACGCCATTATTGGCTCAAGACCCACTGCGTGACCAAAAGAACGCGCTCCGCCGTTGCATGGATTGACTGCTCCGACTATCAGCTCGCAGGGAACTCCAACTGAAAGATATCCGAGAACAAGGATCAAATTGTTCACAATATATACATATATATAGATAGATATATAAATATAGATTGTGTATTTTGGTCGGTTCACTTTTGACGTCCATTTTTTGCAGGGAAAACCACCAGCAAGCTACCAGATGACATGCCAAATGAATCAAATGGCTCTTTCCACCAAGCAAGGTATCGTCTACGGTTCTGCCCACTGCCTTCGCTATAGCTGCTTTGCGCCGTTGCTTTCCCAAGTGGGGAGCATTGGTAGTGGCTCAGTCAAACAAAAGTTGGCATTGGGCAACAAGCAATTTAAAAATATTTGAACGAGAACCTTTGCCTAGCATTGTACAAAAACCGTTTCAAGGCTCTTGGCAAATATCTGTGGATGGGGGGTGTGGCCAGTGCTGCCCGTGCAGGAACAGAAAGCTTTCGCATGGCTCCGAACGATTTCAAAATCAGAGGAAATTGACCTGTGGGTGAGCTTTGCAAATGCCGCGGTGCTGCAACGATTCATGTGGAAAGTGCATTCATGAGAGTTTGACGCCAAGCCGAATGTTCTCATGGTTTGAGAAGGTAACTTGCAAAGTGCCATGATGAAAACTACAGGTGAACTTTCATGAGCTTTCCATCGATCTTGCGGGAGAAAAGTTTTGCCCCTGAATGGACTTTGCTGTACATGAAAATAGTGCAACCACAGTTAAGTGACTTCACAAGTCCCAAGTCCTTCAAGGGCACCTCCCAGTCGCAGGCTAGTAATCCCTTGTATAGCAGCCCAGTGCAAGCCGTGAAGACGGCGTGCAGCATACCGTGGAACGTGTTTGCGTGAGAAGCGCCACACGCTTCTCACCCGCGTGTGAACGGCAGTGCATTTTGGGCATGGCCAGGGAAAATGGAGCTTCAGCCTGGAAATGCCAAGATCTTGGATCCGGAAGGCAAACATATCCAACAGCGAGGGCTTGGTACAGATGTAAAAATGATTTAAATATGCCCAAATTGTAGGCGCATTGGCACCCCAAGTCTGACCCAACCCATTTGGAGTGTATAATACAGTATATGCATATTTATATATATATATATACATATATTACATTATATTACTATAAATATAGATACCGTGCATGAATATCACCAAATATAAATCTATGTATATATATATATATACATATAACTATAATTACAATATATATATGTACATTTATATACATGTGAGCACGCACATGTGCTGTGGATACGGCTATTTGCGCATGGCATGTCAGGGCGGATCCATGTACGTGCCGCCTGCTCGCCGATCTGTGCTTGGCTTAGCTGACTGGAAGAAGATGAGTTGCGGCGAGCTTTGAATTGGAGAAAGAGGATTTGTCCCCAAAGCTGGTTTGGTTGCCCCCAAATCATCCTTCAATCATCCTTCAATGATCTTCAATCCATGAATCCATGCTGCAGTGTTCGGCCAAAAAAGGTGCTAAATTTATGAAGATGAATATCACAACCCCCGATGAGTAAAACATAGTAAAACCCCCATTTCAACACGTTTAGTTAAGTTAATCCAGGAACAACATCAAACACCAGCTTGAGGACGTTCGCCTGGAAGCTTCGCCTGCGCGGAGCGCCAGCCCGCGCAAAGTGAAGTTGGGAGCTTAGGTGCATGCAGGTTGGATCAGGTTGGATGGTTTCCCCACGGTTCTCCAAAGTTTTTAGCTAAAATCCCCAAATCCAGGACGATGGAGAGTTCAGAAAAATCAAGTGTGAAGAAAATGATTGTGCCATTCGGCCCTGACCGGGGAGTTAAACCTGGGCAACCTGGGAGTTGCTGACCGCATTGTTGAGGCCACTGGCTGCAGAAACGAAGGTGGATGAAGCATTGAGTGACATACCTTGGGCCATCCTTCCACCCACCAAGACGGCACAGTACGTACGCACGCACGCACGCACGTACGTACGTACGTACCGTACGGACGTACCTACATACCTACATACCTACCTACCTACCTACATACCTACGCACCTACGTACCTACGCACCTACGTACCTACGTACCTACGCACCTACGTACCTACGCACCTACGTACCTACGTACGCACGTACGTAGGTGCGTACGTGCGTACGTGCGTACGTGCGTACGTGCGTACTTGCGTACCTACATACATACATACATACATACATACATACATGCATACATGCATACATGCATACATGCATACATGCATACATGCATACATGCATACATGCATACATGCATACATGCATACATGCATGCATGCATCCATACATACATACATACATTACATTACAGTACAGTACAGTACAGTACACTACAGTACAGTACATACATACATACATACATGAGAATAGGGGATCAAGACTTGAGCAAATCTGATGATCCTGGTGATGACTTGCAACGTTGGTTGGGGTTGTAGCCCAGGCCATACGTGGAGATACTACCGGGTTCCCGGTAGGACCTTGGATTTTGACTTCATGCCAGGCGGTGCAGGCACCGGCGCCGACCGTGGCGGCAAAGTCCCCAAGGCGCAGCACCTGATGAGTCACGAAAAGCCTGCGCTGTTCGCTGTTTGAAAAATCCCCAAAATTAGATTTGTGATGATTTGCGGCAGCTTTCCCAGAACTTAATACAACAACAAGGACGTACCGACATGGATTATATACAGTAAACATATTAAACCTTTCATTGCAATATGTCAAGGCAAGATCCTGGTTGGCCACGGCAGATAGCTGCAAGTGCAGCCCGGGGACCTCAGTTGACCGATCGTTGGCAAAGCATGGAGGATTTGGATTATTCTCGGTTCCTTTCGTTTTAGATTGGGATGATGTTTAATTTCTTGTTTGATTTTGCACTTTTCATCACTTTTCATTAGGAGTTATTAGGTTCAGTGATGTTTTTTTTGTGGTTCTGAGTGGATCATCACTGTTATGTGTCTCAACTCAACAGGTATTTGGTCCCGATGTCTTGTTGTTCCAAGCACGTCCCTCGTCATAAGGAATATCCCGTTGGACGCGGTCCAAAGGGTCTTGGGAGGCTTGTGGGCTTAGGGGCGTTGCCACAGTGCTCTAAGACCATTCTCAAATGTCATGGAAATTGGGAAACAGTCAGTAGCCAAGTTCCAGGGATGAAATGGTTGTCAGTGTTCATGGTATCTGTTGACGGAACGATGAGATCCCTTCAGCAGCGTCGTGCAGGATGGAAAGCCCTGTTCGCAAGGCGGGAAGCGGAGCTTGAGCACGAGCCTCTCAACCCAAATCCATAGCAGAGCACTTTAGGACAAAGACATTGGGAACTGGGAAATATATGGAAATATGGCAATAGATGGATCGGAATACAGTTTTTGCATCTGCTATGTTGTACTACCATACTATAGTATAATTACTCTAGAATCCATACTTCTATCGTTTATATGATGATTTTATCAGGGTCTTCCCCACGAACTCGTAGTATCATGGGTTCATGGGGTGAAGTGGGGCTCTAGGGGTTAACCCCAAGAGTTGCCCATGAAAGTCGTAAAACCGTTCGGGTCTAGCACAAGAAAAAGGCAGCTGAGACCCCATTGTTTCAGATTGGGTAAGAAATTGTGAGGGAATGCCATAGGGACAGCATGGGACAGCATCAAATAGCCAGGGCCCATTCATTCTTTTGTAATCTTTGCACGCAGCGCTTGCTTCCACTACTAGCAAAGTCACCACGGGAAGTGTGTTGAAACTGAGGGTCGTATCGTAGCATAATTCCAAGACTGGGGTATTCAGCAATTCTGGCTGCATTATATGGCATCACAAGGATTTCACAATAAATCATGGTTAGTTGTGGAATTCATCCTATGTCAGATTGATAAATCATCAAAATTCAGCCAGTGATGACCTCCCCCTCAACGCCGCGCTTTGCTTGACATCAATCAAAAGGCACGGCCGGCTGAAACCCACGGCGGTGCATGTGCGAGTTAAATTGGGAGGATGATGTTGGGATACAGCAGTGTGGAGTGCTTTGATGTCACGTGATATAAATGATAGCCCCGTGACACCCATCTCAGTCTCACAACAGCCACCTTCAAAGACGCCCCGGAGATGATGTCATATAATTTCAGAATCCTCGTTTTCAGAAAATTCTGCCAGTTCAATCTGCATCGCCGTTCCAATGGATGACCAGTTGTTTCTCCGGACCTTGTTGCTGCTGACGCTCTTCGCCAGCCTCCTGCTGTGTCACTTGTCCACAGCCACGAGGACCGGCCGCTCCAGTGTTTTGCTGGCGTCCTTGGCATCAGTCGCTTAGCGAGGATTCAAAAAGGCCAAGGATTCAACGATTCCTTGCCATGTGCCTGGTGATATTTGGTGCGTTAAAATCAAAAATAGTTCATGTATGTTCATGTACTGTATATATCTGTTTCAGGGTATATCACGATATGACATGACATGACTATATGATACTATATGTTCATGTGGCAAACAAAGGTTCTGGGAAAAATACCCGTGGATATCTATTACTTGTACTTACTTGCAAGGTCTTGACCACATGAGGTTTGTGAGTTTTTGGACCGAACCCATGGCAAGGTATTCTTTGGATTTGACAACTTCTTGATTGCCTATGCTGGACGCCTCATCCAACCAGCAGAGTACATGTCAGTGATGTTTTGGAGCATTTTTATGGTGGCTTGCTTTGGGAGCACAGCTTTGGCCATTGCCTCTCCCAGTTTCCAAGATGAAGTGAAACAAGTGTTTCAAGCCTCCAGAATGCAAAGGATTTGGATTGTTTCCAGTGGAACTCTGATAGCTTTAGCCCAAACCTCTGCCTGTCTCGGTTTCCGATTGGATGAAGTGGATTCGGGGCCACTTCAATCGGTGGTCATTGCGAATGTGCCCATTGTGGGTATCTTTTTCTATTTCTGGAGCCACGAAACCTTGTCCAAGATTCAACTGTTGGGTTGTGCCTTGATTATGGCAGGGATTTCCTTCATGTTTCTGGATGATGCTGGACCAGTGGATTCCAACTTTCCAGCCTCCTTCCTGTGGATTTGCATCTCCACCCTGTTCTATGCCAGCTCCATCATTACCATCCGCTTCGCGGGAGGCGAGGAGCTGCCAGAACGTCCCAAATCCATCGCCATCGTTCTGTCCTCGGGCTTGCTGGGATTCCTCCTGTTAAGACTGTTTCTGTGCAGTGGACCTTTTACCTTTCACCCGGAGATTTTAACTTGGGCCATGCTGAATGCCTTAGCATCTATGACTGGTTTGCTCACGGTTGTGCTTTCATATGAAGTCCCGGATGCGAAAGTTGCACTGGCAACAGCCTTGATCGATAGCAATGCAGTGCCTATGTGCGTTCTAAATTTCTTACTTCTGGGCGAGAAGCCGGGCTTGGCCAAGCTGGTTGGTATGGCTGTGGTATTGCTTGGTTGCTCAGCTGGATTCGCAAGCCCTCACGAGGCAAAGTTTGATGAGATACTTTCTAATAGCCTGCTTGAAACTTCCTAGGAGCTTGCCAGGTGATCAGATGCCAAAGTGCGACTGTAGCTGCGACATAAAAGTCGGTGCTGGGATTTCTTGGGTGCTTTCTGTGTCCAATTTTGAGTCACAGATTTGCAAAGCGGTCGCAGTTCTTGGTGCACAACTTTGAACTAAGACCCAATGGAGATGGCTTTCAAGGTCGCTTCATGGATCCACTTATGATCCACTACAGTATTCATGCTTGCCAGTTTCCAAAGATGGCCGACACCAGCAGGCATATTCCAGACGACCTGGCGCTAGTAGAGAGGACACAGTGCAATCAGCTGTGTGAAACTGCGTGTTTTCCATAGCTAACATAGACCCGGGCAAGCCGGCGGCGGAAGTTTCCCAAACATAAATGACCTATAGTTCGACGCCAGCCTGTCCCGACCGTGTCCTTCCCTCGACAAGCGGTTTTTTTTTCAGCGAGAGACGAAGCAAAGTCTTCACACTCCACACTCCACACTTCACACTGCACTCTTCGCACTCCAAACTTCAAACTTCAAACTTCACACTCCACACTTCACACTTCACACTTCACACTTCACAGTCCACACTTCACACTTCTCACTTCTCACTTCGCACTTCACACTCCACACTTCACAGTCCACACTTCACAGTCCACACTTCACAGTCCACACTTCACACTCCACACTTCACACTTCTCACTGCTTCCTTCACACTCCAAACTTCACACTTCACACTTCGCACTTCGCACTTCACAGTCCACACTTCACACTTCTCACTGCTTCCTTCACACTCCAAACTTCACACTTCTCACTTCGCACTTCACACTCCACACTTCACAGTCCACACTTCACACTTCTCACTTCTCACTGCTGCCTTCACACTCCAAACCTCACACTTCACACTTCACACTCACTCTTCGCACTCCAAACTTCACACTCCACACTTCACACTCCACACTTCACACTTCTCACTTCCCACTGCTTCCTTCACACTGTACACTTCACACTGCACTCTTCACACTCCACACTTCACACTGCACCCTTTGCACTCCAAACTTCACACTCCACATTTCACAGTCCATACTTCACACTTCTCACTTCTCACTGCTTCCTTCACACTCCAAACTTCACACTTCACACTTCACACTGCACTCTTCACGCCCCACATTTCACACTACACTCGTCACACTCCACAGTTCATCTCATCTGAGCTCTTCTCACCTTATCCCAGCTCATCTCTTCTCATTTCGTCCCTTCTCATATGTCATCTATTAAGCTTTCATTAATCAATTCCCAGCACTACTACTAATCACTGTCGAACCCTTGATGCACTTACTCCAATACGATTTACGAAGTCCAGTTGCAAAAGACAATAGTATTGCGCATGCAGCCGCGGCACCAAGCAACCTTGACGCAGCCATTACAATGCGATCTGCAGAGACTGAGTTGCAAAACACAATAGAACTACGTGCAACGGCGTCGGAAATTGTAGCTCCAAAACCGGATCTCGACGCCAGAGCGAAAAAAAGACGATTTTGAAGCACTGTTTAAAAGGATTTTTAGAAGGAAAATCATTAGCGCCAAAATGGAGAAAATCTGCTGACAAATCACTGTGGCAGCCTTCATGCAGCCACTCCAATACGATTTACGAAGTCCAGCTGCAAAAGACAATAGTATTACGCATGCAGCCGTGGCAAGAAGCAACCTTGACGCAGCCATTACTATGCGATCTGCAGAGACTGAGTTGCAAAGCACAATAGAACTACGCGCAACTGGGTCGGAAATTGCAGCTCCAAAACCGGATCTCGACGCCAGAGCGAAAAAAAAGACGATTTTGAAGCACTTTTTGAAAGGATTTTTAAAAAGACAATCACTGGCGCCAAAATGGAGAAAATCTGCTGACAAATCACTGTCGCAGCCTTCATGCAGCCACTCCAATACGATTTACGAAGTCCAGCTGCAAAAGACAATAGTATTACCAATGCAGCCACAGCACGAAGCAACCTTGACGCAGCCATTTACATTGCGGGAACGATCCTACAGTTGCAAAGCACAATGGAATTCCATCGGCAACTCCTCCACCAGCACCACTTGCAATGCCATTTGCATTGCGGGAACGATCCTACAGTTGCAAATCACAATGGAATTCCATCGGCAACTCATCCACCAGCCCCACTTGCAATCCCATTTACATTGCGGGAACGATCCTACAGTTGCAAATCACAATGGAATTCTGTCGACCGCGCATGCACGAAACACAGCTGAAACCCCATTTACAATGCGGAACCGATCCGACCATGATCCGAACATGATCCGAGACCGTTCCGACCACACACGAGACCGTCTCGCACCCGTCGCACCGCAGAGGTAGATCATCGACGTTCGGGGACGAACTTTGTATGGAAAAACATAGGCTTTCGTGCATCTGCTATCTCTCAAAAACGCATTTCGTGCGAGACTTCCTCCAAAACTCCATCGGCAACTCCTCCACCAGCACCACTTGCAATCCCATTTACAGTGAGGGAACGATCCTAGAGTTGCAAATCACAATGGAATTCCAGCGGCAACTCATCCACCAGCACCACTTGCAATCCCATTTACATTGCGGGAACGATCCTACAGTTGCAAATCACAATGGAATTCTGTCGACCGCGCATGCACGAAAAACACTTGAAACCCCATTTACAATGCGGAACCGATCCGACCATGGTCCGAGAATGATCCGACCATGGTCCGAGAATGATCCGACCACACACGAGACCGTCTCGCAACCGTCGCACCGCAGAGGTAGATCATCGAGGTTCGGGGACGGACTTTGTATGGAAAACATAGGGTTTCGTGCATCTGCTATCTCTCAAAAACGCATTTCATGCGAGACTTCCTTCAAAACTCCATCGGCAACTCATCCACCAGCAACACTTGCAATCCCATTTACATTGCGGGAACGATCCTAGAGTTGCAAATCACAATGGAATTCCATCGGCAACTCATCCACCAGCACCACTTGCAACCCCATTTACAATGCGGGAACGATCCTATACAGTTGCAAATCACAATGGAATTCTGTCGACCGCACATGCACGAAAAACACTTGAAACCCCATTTACAATGCGGAACCGATCCGACCATGATCCGAGACCGATCCGACCATGATCCGACCATGATCCGACCACACACGAGACCGTCTCGCACCCGTCGCACCGCAGAGGTAGATCATCGAGGTTCGGGGACGGATTTTGTATGGAAAAACATAGGCTTTCGTGCATCTGCTATCTCTCAAAAACGCATTTCGTGCGAGACTTCCTCCAAAACTCCATCGGCAACTCCTCCACCAGCACCACTTGCAATCCCATTTACAGTGAGGGAACAGTTTCTTTGCTAACTCTTTCCCTCACTAACTCTTTCTTTGACTACTCTTTCCCTGACTAACTTTTCTTTGCTAACTCTTTCTTTGACTAACTCTTTCCCTTTGAACTCTTTCTTTGACTAACTCTTTCCCTCACTAACTAACTCTTTCCCTGACTAACTGACTAACTCTTTCCTAACTCTTTCCCTCACTAACTCTTTCTTTGACTAACTCTTTCCTTGACTAACTCTTTCCCTCACTAACTCTTTCTTTGACTAACTCTTTCCCTCACTAACTCTTTCTTTGACTAACTCTTTCCCTCACTAACTCTTTCTTTGACTAACTCTTTCCCTGACTAACTGTTTCTTTGCTAACTCTTTCTTTGACTAACTCTTTCCCTCACTAACTCTTTCTTTGACTAACTCTTTCCCTGACTAACTGTTTCTTTGACTAACTCTTTCTTTGACTAACTCTTTCTCACTTCTTTCTTTGACTAACTCTTTCCCTCACTAACTCTTTCTTTGACTAACTCTTTCCCTCACTAACTCTTTCTTTGACTAACTCTTTCCCTGACTAACTGTTTCTTTGACTAACTCTTTCTTTGACTAACTCTTTCCCTGACTAACTGTTTCTTTGACTAACTCTTTCTTTGACTAACTCTTTCTTTGACTAACTCTTTCCCTCACTAACTCTTTCTTTGACTAACTCTTTCCCTGACTAACTGTTTCTTTGACTAACTCTTTCTTTGACTAACTCTTTCCCTCACTAACTCTTTCTTTGACTAGCTCTTTCCCTCACTAACTCTTTCCCTGACGAACTCTTTCTTTGCTAACTCTTTCTTTGACTAACTCTTTCCCTGACATTCTAAAAGTCGGTAACACGGAAGTTTCTCCCCCTAAACTTCCTTTGATCATAGCTGTTTGCAACGACACAGTAAGCCACCGGTTTTTTCACACGATTTCGTGTTGTTGCAACAGAAGGCACACTTGCCACGTGCCGTAGATTTTGATTTTGGGCTTTACACATGGATACACATGGCACATCGTCAATGAATGGTAGCCCTTCAAACCTCCATGCATAGCCTGTGAGTCAGGATACTCAAGCCGGTTCTCCTCAGCCATGTCCTTAGCCCTCAAATGTTAGCCAGGAGTATCAGGATGAGAGGAATGAAGCATCAGAAAGTCAGAAAGTTGTAGAGATTCCAAGCGAAGCAATGAGACACAATTAGGCGAGGTGGCAAACCCCCATCTGAACTTGAATGATCAGCTGCTGTTTGGTGATTTTGGTCAGTCAGTATGGTGATTTGAGGCTTCAGAAGGCCCAGAAGCCCAAGACACTTCAGGAGGACGGTGACAATGATTTCTCCATGACTTCTCGCAACATCGAAGGGGCTCCTGGTTTCAGGAGCCTGTTGTTCTTCAAGATTCTCCAGTGATGCCACGCAAAGGCGTGGCGTAGCCAGTGCGCTCTCACTGCCTGTTTCCATCCCTACCTGGGATGACAGCCGTTGATGGTTGCTTGTGGAGTTCCGTTTCAGGAAGCTCATTGACTTTGGGCTTGGCAGGCCAGTAACAGCAGAGAGGAGGGAGATCATCTCAACCACTTCTAGCCATGCAGATCCATGCAGTATGTTTTTTTTTTCCAGGGGTGTGTTTGTATGCAGGATAAGCAGGATATGCAAAGACATAGATATACAGCCGCTTGCCCACCTATGCTTTGCAGAGAGAGCGAGACAGGGGAATGGATTTACAGTGACACTGTGTGTGTGCGCGTGTGATTGCTTGCATATGTCTGATTATGTGTATATCATATGAATAAATATATATATATACTGTAAATATTTATATTGTTAATTATTTGTTTATTCATTAACTTATTTTATCTTTAACATATAACGCACAATCTATTTAGAGAGATACGACGCACAATATGCAAATACACATGTATGTGAGTCTGACATGGCTGTCTCCAAATCAGCACCTCAGCTTACTGTAGTTTCGGGTGAACAACAAGTATTTTCCGAAAAAAAATGGTATTCTGATGCCCTCTCAAGTGGCCACGGGTGCCTTTCGAGTTTGGGCTGTAGTCTCAAGACTTATGATGATTTGGGTCTTATAAGAATACAGCCCTCTTTCATAAGAATAGGTGTTTGGTTGTGTTGGTTCATGTCCAAAACCTCCACGTGATAAATCATATCAAATAGTAGACTGCGCTCTGTGAGGCAGTGCATTGAACTTGTCCTTGAGAACTTCGGTGTGCATTAGAGAGTTTTGTGTCATTTTCGACTTGTGAAGCTTGACAAAGCTTTACTCAATATGTCCGAGGTAACAACACCCTTCTTTTGGAGAGCCCTCGCGATTTGCAGAACTTGCACCTAGACTCCAGAGTGATCCAGAGTGACTGGTGTGGATTCTGTCACTGTTCATGGACCCCTTCGGAGGCTTTCAAGAGCTGTACCGAATTATGCGGAGCTGGTCACGTACATGATTTTGGGATTAGCCGTAGAAACTCTTTGGACACTGGATCATCAAACTTTGATTCTGTCCATGTTCGGTGGCTTTCTCGTTCTTGCTCCCGAGGCAAAAGCCATCTCAGGGTGTCTCGCCTGCACCAGCGGGCGCTACAAACGGAAAACACGGCACATTACTTAAGGTGGTTCAAAATTCCGCTACATTGGTACCTCACACCGGATACTTTGACAAGTGGTTTGGCTTGCCACGAAGCATCGCAGGTTACAAGCTGATTTGCAGAAATGAGGCTCCGCTGAGCGCTAGGCCGGATTCAGTTGAGAACCATGTTAAAAGCGTGGAACCAGGCGGACTTGTACATTGACTGCGTCCGGGTCATTTTGTTTTAAAAAAAATATCTGTGAACATCTCCATTACTTGTTCAGATTCTTGACCCGCTGGGGTTCCAATTCCAGTGGTCCATATCTCATGATCTGCAGCATAAGTCCATACCTGCAGGGTGCCCAGGCCAGTCGGCGCCGGAAGCTTAGGGGTTCAGTTGTACTGTACAGTAGCATCCCAATGCTTGGAAGGTTTGTGGCACCATGAGGATTGAAGAACAAAATCGACCTTTCTATATAGTATATATACTATATATAGTATATACTATGTATACTATACTGTCAGGATTCAACGGTTCTGATCTTTCCTACTCCAACAATGGCCTTTCGATGAGTTTCTGTGCGGTTTTGCTCTAGAAAATATGTGGAAAAAATCCTAAAACATAGCCTCGCAGTGTCTCACAGTCATGGTAGTCATGTTCAGCACTAGTTCAACCACCATGTGGGAAGAATGAAGATAATCCGTGCTGATCCTGCAGCCTTGGTGGAGCTAGTTCGAGGCACACAGTCTGGAAGTGCCACCGGGTCAAAGCCGAGGCTCGAGCCTCGGAAAGGAAACCACTGGTGGATGCAATGCTATGCATAGCGCTTCATCTGTATATGGAGAATATCAATATAATTAATTGTAATTGAGTGTTTGCAGCGGTTGAATACATACATGCATACATACATACATACATACATTGATACATACATAGATACATACATATACATGTACATATACATTTACATATATATACATATATACATACATATATATATATACATAGGAGAGCGGTGCATCCACAACTATTTTTTGAACCTACGACATGTGACATATGTATATATATATACATATATACATACATATGTATGCATACGGAAAGATTTGTATAAATTTTGCATCTGTCTATATATAATGTAGAGAGAGATGGGTGCATACATCATCATAGGTTGATGGATGGGTAGATATATAAGTAGATGATGATAGATTATTCTATGTGTGCATGTGCTGTGTGAGTTGCGATGAGTGAGGCATTACCCGAGTGGCTCCCGCAGTGGTGGTGCCTCGCTCAGAGTCATCCATGCCCAACTTGAAGCCACGACGCCGCCACCCAAGGTCCGACCGGAAGCGCTCACCACAGGCAGGTCAGCAAAAAAAAGTGGCTGTGGATCAAAATACAGCTTAATTAATTAGCTAAGGCTTCGTGGTTTTGGGGGATCTCACAGACTGTTCCCCTTGTGCAGGCGTTGTCCTGGGTCTATGTCAAGCACATGTGCCGGCCCGGGCCCCAGAGGCATGAGGGATGTCATTAAATATATATGTCACTGGCCTTGCTCCAGGATTTTTTCGACCCTGATGCCGAAACAAGGCAAATGTTCCCAACAAACAACCCCAATTGCAAAGGGAATGCGAAGTTGCACTTTGCTGCAAGATGCAAGGGTGGACAAGTGACTTAGCAGTATTATCAAGGAATGTGATGGAATGGGGGTCTATATTATTCACATGAAAAACTTAGATAAAACAGGACGGCATCAAACCCTGTATGTTTACCCGCCGCCACCACTACATCACACCACCACCGATCACAGACCACCACCACACCAGCAGATGTGATTGCTTGTGTATGGAAATGCGACTAGTCTGGCAGCACTTTTGGGATTACTTTTGGGGATGGATGGGGTCCGGAAACCCATGCGACCGGTGCAATGTTGGGGTGACTACCTGGGATCCCTCTAGCTATGCGTTTCGGGAAATGACACATGCAACAAATGCAGAAGCATGGAAATGAAAAATGCAACTCGGAGAAAGAGAAAAAGGGTATTGATGCCACTGATGTCACCATTTGTTGCAGTTTCATGATGGTTCATGCTCATCATTGCGTTGATCAAAAAGATCACCTGTTGTGGATGAATCTCTGCATGTTTGCCAATTATTTGTGTGAAGTTTTTTTCATTATAGAAAACACTTGTGATTTTTGACCGTTGATGAAGAGACGCCATGTTTTTCGACCCCCATTCACGCCGAGCCCGAGGTCTCCAGAACAATCTTAACAAGTCGCCCATACCCAGGCCAACTTGCCAATGGTTTTTTGTGGCAAGTTATTTTTACATGCTTTTTTCCAGGTGCAGTTCTAGTGACTAGTTTTTACTGTTTTGTTTATGAACTTATTATTACGAAAGCCAGGTGGGAAGGCGGTCGGTTGTTATTCGTGAACGAAGTGAGAATGGGGGGTGTGGGGGGGGGAATTGCTTGGAGGTGCCGAAAACGTAAATAGGTAGTGCTTTAGGCGTCAGAAAGGTATGGTTTTGCATGGTAATGTACCGTGCGGCAAAACAGTGACGGTGGGTATCGATTCCCCCTAGGTCCGGTTTTCTTGGGTCAGTCAGGTGGAAAGATAGATGGGCTAACCCCCCAATACTAAACCCCCCCCTCCCCAAATAATTAAAGGACCGGATAACCCCACAAGGCAACTTCTTCCAATAATGAGCACCAAATGTTGTAGCGGGGACGGGGACGGAAGGAAGGACAAAGTAGGTGGTGGAGGAGCGAGAAGTAAAACAAAGTTGTGTGTGACAAAGTTGTATGTGAAAGATGGTGTGTGACAAGACGGTGTGTGAAAGATGGTCTGTGACGGTGTGTGAAAGATGGTGTGTGACAAAGATGGTGTGTGAAAGATGGTGTGGCGAAAGATGGTGTGTGAAAGATGGTGTGCGTGTGAGAGATGGTGTGGTGAAAGATGGTGTGCGACAAAGTTGTGTGTGAAAGATGGTGTGGTGAAAGATGGTGTGTGAAAGATGGTGTGTGTGTGTGACAAAGTGGTGTGTGAAAGATGGTGTGTGACAAAGTGGTGTGAAAAATGGTGTGTGAAAGATGGTCTGTTACGGTGTGTGAAAGATGATAAAGATGGTGTGTGAAAGATGGTGTGTGTGAAAGATGGTGGGTGACAAAGCGGTGTGTGAAAGATGGTGTGTGACAAAGATGCTGTGTGACAAAGATGCTGTGTGACAAAGTTGAGGGTCAAAGATGGTGTGTGACAAAGTTGTGTGTGAAAGATGGTGTGTCCAAGATGGTGGGTGACAAAGCGGTGTGTGAAAAAGGTGTGTGAAAGATGGTGTGTGACAAAGTGGTGTGTGAGAGATGATGTGTGACAAAGTGGTGTGTGAAAGATGGTGTGTGACAAAGATGGTGTGTGAAAGAGGGTGTGTCAAAGATGGTGTGTGACAAAGTCGTATGTCAAAGATGGTGTGTGACAAAGTCGTATGTCAAAGATGGTGTGTGAAAGATGGTGTGTGACAAAGTTGTGTGTGAGCCGGCCCAGTGCCATAAGTGCGCCACCAGAGCCAGCCCAGTGCCATAAGTGCCACGCCTGCCACGCAAAACGAAGGTGGATGTGACCAAGTGCCACACCTGCCACGCGAAACGAAGGTGGATGTCACCAAGTGCCACGCCTGCCACGCAAAGCCGCGGCGTCACCGGCGACCAAAACCGGCCCAACTGCGCCCAAGCGCGCCCAAGCGCGCCACCAGAGCGAGCCCAGTGCCATAAGCGCCGCAAATGTCGCCAAGTGCCACGCCTGCCACGCAAAGTGCCGTGGCGTCACCGGCCACTAAAAGTGTGTGAAAGATGGTGGTTGACAAAGATGTGTGTGAAAGATAGTGTGTGAAAGATGGTGGTTGACAAAGATGTGTGTGAGAGATGGTGTGTGACAAAGATGTGTGTGAGAGATGGTGGTTGACAAAGATCTGTGTGAAAGATGGTGGTTGACAAAGTTGTGTGTGAAAGATGGTGGTTGACAAAGTTGTGTGTGAAAGATGGTGGTTGAGAAAGATGTGTGTGAAAGATGGTGGGTGACAAAGCGGTGTGTGAAAGATGGTGGTTGACAAAGTTTTGTGTGAAAGATGGGTGTAAGAGATGGTGGTTGACAAAGATGTGTGTGAAAGATGGTGTGTGAAAGATGGTGGTTGACAAAGTTGTGTGTGAAAGATGGTGGTTGACAAAGTTGTGTGTGAAAGATGGTTGTGGCGGAGGAGGCGGAGGAGCGGGCGGAGGATACAGAATCAAAAACAAGAACCCCCCACAAAGATGTGGGGAATAAACACCTCAGGTAGTTTTTATTTTTAGGGTGGTACTTATTATTAGGGAACCAAAGCGGACCCTAATAATAAATTAAAACCCTTAATGGGAAAAAAAAACGATGTCAAAATCGATTCAATTTCCTTTTATAGCGCAATTAAAATATTGCCAAAAGATTGGATTTCGAAGCGGGCCCTATTCATAAATTTGAAACCTTAATAAAGAGAAACTATTTTTTCCGATTTCAAAATCAATGAAATCTCCTTTTATAACGCAATTAAAATATTGCCAAAAATTGGATTTCGAAGCGGACCCTTCTAATAGATTTAAAACTTTAATCATAAAAAAAAATAGTTTTTTTCGATGTCAAAATCAATTCAATTTCCTGTTTTAACGCGATTTAAATATTGCCAGAAATTGGATATCGAAGCGGGCCCTAATAATAAGTTTAAAACCTTAATTTGAAAAAAAAACGATTTCAAAATCAATGAAATTTCCTTTTATAACGCGTTCAAATATTGCCAAAAATTGGATTTCGAAGCGGGCCCTATTATAAATTTGAAACCTTAATGAAAACATACTATTTTTTCGATTTCAAAATCAATTCAATTTCCTTTTATAACGCTATTAAAATATGGATGGCTATTTATGTTTGGTTTTTTTTCGCGGCAGGTTTTGGCATTTTTTTGGGGTCCTGGTTCTATGCTTTCCTGTTTCTCTGATTTTCTGCTTTTCTGCTTCTCTGCTTTTCTGCTTCTCTGCTTTTCTGCTTCTCTGCTTTTCCTGCTTCTCTGCTTTTCTGCTTCTCTGCTTTTTGCTTTCCCTGCTTCTCTGCTTTTCTGATTTTCTGTTTTTTTCTTTTCCTGCTTCTTTGCTTCTCTGCTTCTCTGTTTTCCCTGCTTCTCTGCTTTTGTACTTCTGTGCCTTTCTACTTCTACTATTCTACTTTTTCTTTTCTTCAGTCATGTGTTTTTGCTGCTCTACTTCCTGCTCCTTTGCTTCTTTGCTTCCTGTCTTTACTGTCTCTTTGTTTTTCATTTTCTTTTGCTTTGTTTGTATCCTAAATGAAACCCTAGAAATACCCTAGGTGAAACCCAAAGAAACCCTCAAGAAATCCTGATAAGAAACCCTACATGAAGCCCTAAATGAACCTAAAGAAACCATAAATGAACCCTAAAGAAACCATAAATTAATCCTAAAGAAAACATAAATGAAACCCTAAAGAAACCATAAATGAAACCCTAAATGACATCCGAAAAACTAAGTGAAACCTTAACTGGCACCTGAGCTGAAACCCTAAATTGACACCCTAAAGAAACCCTAACTGAAACCCTAAATTGAAACCCTAAATGAAATCCTAAAGAAACCCTAAATGAAACCCTAAAGAAACCTTAAATGACACCCTAAACGAAACCCTAAAGGAACCCTAAAGGAACCCACTTGAACGTTTAGAAATCGTGAAAAGAAATCCTGACAAGAAACCTTGGAATGAAACCCTAAAGAAATGAAACCCTAAATGAAACCCTAGAGAAACCCTAAAGAAACCCTAAATGAAACCCTAAAGAAACCTTAAATGAGACCCTAAATGAAACCCTAAATGAAACCGTAAAGAAACCTTAAATGAAACCCTAAATGAAACCGTAAATGAAACCCTCAAGAAACCCCAAATGAAACCCTAAATGAAACCCCAAATGAAGCCCTAAATAAAATCCAAAATGAAACCCCACATGAAACCCTAAGTGAAGCCCCAAATGAACCTAAATAAAACCCTTAATGAAACCATCAATGAAACCTTTAATGAGACCCTAAATGAAGCCTAAAGAACCCTCAAGAGACCCACATGAACGTTTGAAGCACCAAAATGTAGCAAATACCATGCAACTGAGAGGTTGAAATGCCAAAATGTGACAAATACCATGCAAAATGGAAGGCGAACATGGCCAAATGTAGCAAATACCATGCAAAATGCAAAAGTGACCATGCCAAAATGTAGCAAATACCATGCAAAATGACAGGTTCTAGTTCCAAACTGTTGCAAATACAAGGCAAATGGTACCGGGAAAGGAAACCAAAAAAAATCCAAAACCTGAGGCAAAAAAACAAAAACTATTCTACACCCTTAGCAATTTCCTTTTATATGTCCAAAAATTAGATTTCAAAGCGGACCCTATTAATAAATTTCAAACCTTAATAAAATTTTAAAACTAAATTTTCAGACTGGCCTAAAAATAAACACCCCGAGGTTAACTAGTTTTTATTATTAAGGGGCGAAACCCACAAATGGTAGTTTTATTTTTAAATTGTTTTCTAAAGGGGATCAATTAAGAGTCAAATTGGCCAACCTTAAATTTTCCAAAATTAAAGATAGACCCTGGTTTTTATTATTTGGGTATATTTGGGTGGGTTTTGTAATAGGGGGACGGGATTACCTAGTTAGAGAAGTGGATGGGGAGAAAGACATTGCTGGAGAGACTGGAGAGAGAAGATGAGAAGGAAGTTTGCCTGAAATCTGAAATAGAGAGAGAGAGAGAGAGATTTTCCCAAATGTTTGACATTTTTTTGGACATGTTTGGCCCCTTTATTGGACCACACACGACGCGACCACTGCAACCTCATTGAGATGAGAAACCCCAACAGCAATTTCTTGCACGTCAGTGAGCATGTCAATCCATGCTCCTTAAATTGTGCTGAGCATGCCCGGCGAACTCCAGGATCCCACGAAATGTAATGACAATGTATGGTGCTAAAAATGTCACCTACATGGTAAGGCTATCGAAAATGTCACCTACATGGTAAGGCTATCGTGCCCTCAACTTTTTCAACCAGCAGATGCTACGTTTTGGATGCACACGCCTCTCAAGGTTTCTATATAATGTAAGCCTGGGCCTGAATCGAACCAAACACCGGAGCCAATGAAGTGCCCCACCCCGGACAGTAGCCAACTGCGGCCCAGCGAAAAATGAGATGACAAAGAAACCACGGGGCGTGTCCTGACATTTTGCGGAAGACCCTAAATCCATTGGTCAATCATCAGTTCCCCGACATGGATTACACGACCATAACTTAGACGGAAAGATCTGGCTTTCGTTCCCCCCTTCTCAGGTTTTATGTTTTCCAGGGGTTGGCTAAAATCCCATTTCACAAATTTACGATATGCCTTTGATGTGCCAGATTTTGACCTACGATTATCCAAGCGGATGCCCAAACAGTGGATGCATTCACAGCAAGGGTGGCTAACTTCGACTTTATAAGTAGTTGCTGTGGGCCTTCAGTCACGAGCAACATGATGGTGAACAGAAAGTTGTTGATTGCCCAGGAGTCAAGTCGTGGCAGCCAGGGACTAGATGATTCTGGCTGGCTGAAGATGTACACTTAGTGGATGCCGGGAACTTCCAGATGGAATTCCAAACTTATGTGACAGGTCTTGCCCATACTCCAGTTGCATTTCCAACTTCCACTGCCCAAAACAGGCAGGCAAACCTCTGGAAATTACGGTAGGTATGGCCACGCAGGGGTGAGAACTGATGGTTCCCAAAACCCAGCTGGCCAAATTCAGTGCAGCAATTTGCGATCTAGCAGAAGGCATGCTCACTGAGCCGGGCTTGGCCAATGTTCATCCCATGTTTTGGTCATTAGATCTGTGGCTCAAAACTAGTGAGTCATGTTTTTTCATGATCACCTCTGGTAGGTCTTAGAAGGATAGCAGCATTAAATTGGAATGTTTCACGGCTCGGTGGCAGAGACTGTCGTGTGAGTAGGACTAGTTGCGGGATCAAAACCCAAGCTCGAGGAATGTAAATGTGGAGGACAAAACCGGAAGTGTGCTTAAATATCTTCGGTGCAACCCTGACGTTGCTCCGCGCCGGAAGTGCGGAAGGGCTGCGTAGTTTTGAAATGCCATGCCGGTGGACTTTCAATATGTAGATGCATATGTGATCCATGATCGTCATCATCGTCATGATCATCGTCATCGTCATCGTCATCACCATCATCGTCGCCGTCATCGTCACCATCATCATCATCATCATCATCATCATCATCACCACCCCGTATGAAGATAAGTTGATGCTGTTTTCAGATTCAGCATGTTTGCCTCAGGGGGCTGAGGGCTTCTTAGTCCCTTTTGAAGAATTTTGAAGATATGTTAATGCTATTTTCATTTTCAGCATATTTGCCACAGGGGGTGGTGGATTTGTTAATTCCTTATTAAGATAAGTTGATGTTATTCCTTATTCAACATATTTGTCAGAGGGGGTGGTGGATTTGTTGATACCTTATGAAGATAAGTTGATGTGATTATCCCATTTAACAATAACCCCTACCTTAAATTAATCCAGGCGGACCGTTGGTTATCCAATTCTTTTTCAATTTTTTTTGCTGTGGGCGTTTTTTTCGAGAACTCTATTGTTCGAGGATTAATTTATGTTAGGGGTACCCAAAATAATTTTGTCTGAATGCTTGAGAATGAGAGTGGGGCCACCCCGAATTAATCTGGCAATGTTTCGTCAAACAGCTCATGCCAGCCCAATCAAACTTGGATTATTAATGACGCTAAATCTACCTGGGTAGCATTTACAAGGAAGAAAATGCGTTTGGACATGAATCTTAATGATTGTTTGGCAAGTGATTTTGAAAAGCTTTTCAGAACCATTGCGAACGAAGAAACATGCAATTTATTTCTCATATCACCAACCATTGTTGTCCTTCCTCCCAGCTTGCGTGGACACGCGTAAAATTAATTCGGGTGTGGGTGTGCTAGTACAGGACTCAATAATTGTAATGACACTAAAACTAATTAGGTGGCATTTACAAGTAAGAAGATGCGTTTGGAACAGAATCTTATTGATTGTGTGCAATGAGAATTGAACTCCCATTTAAAAACATCACGAATAAGTAAACATGCAACCCATTTCTTTTTGCGCCAACAAAGTGTTTCCATGTTCCCAGCTCGCGTGGCCACGCGTAAAACTAATTTGGGGGTGGGTGTGCTGGTTTGGGACCCCATGGTTTGATTCCGATGAGACTGCCTTAATTTCTTGCATGCGTATGGGCTTGGCTGGCCTCATTGGAGGCCATATGTTCCGGAAATTTTGGATACCTTCACCCCTACCTCGAATAATTTAGCTAACCACACCCCAATTAATTAGAAGAAATTATTTGGGGTCCCCTTAACCCAAGAAGAAATGGTAGTTCCCCTACTCTTGAATAATTGTGCCTGAAATTAATTTAGGTGGTGGGAAGAGAACCAGTTATTACATCTAGGTGGGGGGGAAGTGCCGCCGAACAAATTAATAGAGGTATCTTGAAGGAGTAAGGACCCTTGGATTAATACTGTTATTAATGTAGGTGGGGGACCACTCTGGGGACCCGGATGGTAGGGGTTATATTTAACATATTTGTTGAGGGGGTGGTGGATTTTTTGGCCCCTTATGAAGATAAGGTAATGTTATTCCTTATTTAACATATTTGTCGGAGGGGGTGGCGGATGCTGATCTCTTATGAAGAGAAATATGTGTGATTACCTCATTTAATATAGTTGTTACAGGGGGTGGTGGATTTGTGATTGCTTTTGAAGATGAGTTGATGCGATTACCCCATTCAACGTATTTGTCAGAGGGGTGGTGGGTTTTTGACCCCTTATGAAGATAAGTTGGTGTCATTACACCATTCAACGTATTTATCAGAGGGGGTGGTGGATTTTTGATCCATTATGAAGATAATTTGATGTCATTGCACCATGCAACATATTTGCCAGAGGGGATGTTGGATTTTTGATCCCTTATGGAGATAAATTGATGTGATTACACCATTTAATATATGTGTCATAGGGGGCGGCGAATTTTTGATCCCCTATGAGTATAAGACATATAAGTTGATGGTTTTTCTCCATTCCACATGAGTTGACATTGGTGATGATGATGATGATGATGAATTTGATATCTCTTTGAAACCCTATAAGAAATTATAATGATTGTATGGTTAATGGTTCTTTGCATCCGGGGGATTTGATATCTTCTTGAAATCCTTAAAGAAACCTTAATGATTATTATGTGAATTGGCCCATGGGCCCGGGGAATTTTGATATCTTCTTGATTTTTTTTAAGGAATCCTAATGATTCATGATTACATGGTTAGCTATTTTATGGGGCCAGCGCATTTTGATATTTTCTTGAAATTTACAAGAAACCTTTATCACGAAAGCTAGCGTCAGCTAGCTGGAGTCTTCTTGCTTTAGCAAGTATTGGGGGGGCTGCTCAAGGACATCACGTGATTTTTCACGCGAAAGGGCCCCCCCCCTCTCCCACCACCACCACCATCACCACCATCATCATCATCATCATCGTCATCATCATCGTCATCATCATCGTCATCATCATCGTCATCGTCCTCTCCCATCGTCCTCGTCCTCGTCATCATCATCATCATCATCGTCATCGTCGTCATCGTCGTCGTCCTCGTCATCGTCCTCGTCATCGTCATCGTCATCGTCATCATCATCGTCATCATCATCATCATCATCATCATCCTCGTCATCATCATCATCATCATCATTCATCATTCATCATTCATCATTCATCATTCATCATTCATCATTCATCATCATCATCATCATCATCATCATCATCATCATCATCATCGTTATTCAATTACATTTTATCATTATTGGCAATTATTGTCATTATCACGAAAGCTAGTGTCAGCTCGCTAGAGTCTTCTTGCTTTAGCACGTATTCCGGGGCTCCCCAAGGACATCACGTGATTTTTCCCGCGAAAGGGCCCCCCCCTGCCCCCTCCCCCATATATATCATTGTTATATATCATATATCAATATATCATTGTTGCATCCTCGTTGGGACGAACAATGCCGCGACACGATGATGACAGTCCCTCCGCAACTCACCTCTTCCCTTCTTTCTCCTACCCCGCTAGCTTTCGTCATCCACCCCCGGCCTCAAGTGATTATTTGATTAGTTGTTCCATGGGGCCGATAATGACCGGTGGATTTTGATATCTGCTTGAAATTATAAGAAATCTTGATGATTGCATATTTCATTGATAATATATTTTAATTTATATTCAAAAAATTATATTGTATTTATTATTTATATTTAATTAATTTCGTAAAATATATTCGAAATAAAATATCGATTTATTTTAAATAAATTATTTTCTCATAAAAATGAAATTAAATTATTTTTTTTAAAGATTAAATAATAAATTATATAAATAAATTATGAATAAAATATTTAAAAAATATATATATTATTTAAAATTATAAATTAAATATATATATATATAATTTATATATAATATATTTTATTTAATAAAATAATTTAAAAATTATTATAATTTTAAAACATATAATAAAATTTAATTTATTGATATTTAAAAATTAAATTATATTAATTTGAATATATAAAAATATAGTATATATGGAATAAATAAAATAATAATTATTATATGTATTTTTTATAATATTTATAATTTATTATATTATAATTTTTATAATTATTTTTATAAATATAATATTGAAATTTAATATATTTTATATAATATAATATTCTAGAATATAATTATATTTTGTTCGAATTTGTGTAATTAAAATAATTATATAAAATATATGTATAATTTATTTTAAATAAAAATTTATATTTTAAAAAAATATCTATTTTGATGAATTATATTTATTTAATACATGAATATTCCTTAGATTAATATTTTTTTTTTTTATAAATAATAATTTATATGAAAATTAATGTACATATAAATTTATATGAAAATTTACCTATATATGGTTGGATATATGCAATTTTCTGGGGAATATCGGTATATTTTGTTTTATTTTGCAGCAGACGCCGCGTGTGGAGCCTGTGGGAAGGGTTTAATATGAAATTTCCGATGTCCAAAAATAAAATTAATTAGAAGATAATAATTATTGTATTAAGAAATAAAAATTAATTAATGGATTTATTCCATTTATTTTTTGCAGAATCTTAAGTCTCGAAATTTGTATAACCAAAATCCGAAAGAATTTCCCTATGTAGACACCATATAGGCAAAAAATAGACCATATATGTTTTCCCTTTTTTATATACCTTGCAGGTAAACATCTCGAAGCCGATGACAATAACGAATTCTTACATTTGATGGCAAAACATATCGCAGGATATCAAACCAGATTCCAATTAGGGGCCCAATGGGATCTACAATTCCGGAAGCCAGCGGATTCCTTATTACAATAAAAAGAAATCTGAATCAAAATTGACCAAAGTATTTTGGGATGTCGAAATTTCAAGTACAAACAAAGAGCTGACAATGTAGATAGGCCAAAGCACGTGCAGTGCTTGGCCGCGTTGTAGTCATCTTCAAGAGCTGGGAAAATTGGTCACAAGAAATATTTCCAATAGTATTTGAACCTTTCAATTAATAACCCAATGTTCTAACCTATATCAAACACACCAGGAACAAAACCATGCTCACTGATGACGTCGATCATGAAGAATGCCCATGGAGTGTACTCAGACAAGTAATCAGATGCCTTTCCCCAATCTGAATCATGTATTGATAAGAGAATTATGTTGTTCAATTTGTGAGGAAATTTCCGTTATCTAGGAAATAT